CACATTTTGTGGTTTCGTCCAGATCTGCGCCAATCTAGCTATTACTCGTTACTTTCCAGAATGTCGCCAAAGCGACCAGTATCGCTATACAGCTGTGGACACGGCTGCGCCCTGAAATCCTACAGATCTCTGAATTCTCTCAATAAAGTCAACCAGTCAGAAACGTGTCGATTAGAGGTTTGTTCAATCTTCCCTCTTATCAACTGGGGTCATCGCATCTTGCATTACCGTGGCTTGCCTGGACAGAACCATTATTTCAGCTTTAGAATGGCATAGAATAGAAACTCCATCGCTCTTCCGAAATCCAACCACCCCGCAAAAAGCACCACTAGGGCCAAAGGCTTCAGTGACATGCCCACATCTGTTGCATGTTGTTGGCTCAGTCGAGCAGCAAATTGCAGGGAGAGCTAGTCCGAAGTGTTCATAAATATCTCATGAGACGAGGTCAGCGCGCAGGTGACCCCTGGTGAATTACCGGAACAGATAACACACAGGTGGGTGAGAGCGAAGGCATTGTGGACAAAGCGTCGATCAATTGACTTCCTTTGCTCCTCCATGCCGATTCTCTAGCTCTCTGCGCCGAGCCCTCCGGCAACTTCTGTGGAGCTCAACCACCACAGAGTGGTCTTCGAAGGTTGTTAAGAAAGTGAAATGCCTGTCTTTTTGAGCGACCATGACTGAGAGAAGGGGGGGGGTCCCGGGAATGCAGCTACTCTCCACAAAGAATCAAAGGAATTACTTCCATGAATCCGTCTCAAAAGTAGCAACCGGTGTGGGAACCCTTGGTGGAGAAGGTAGGAATCACAGTTCCATTGCGTAAAATGGCTCCAACTGGCCCCGATTGATGCTATGAACGATAGAAAAAGCTACGGAGCGGGCAAGATGGCTAAGTGCACACAGTCTCGGTCCCTGTGAATAGGGCGTGTCAAGGGAGATGGGTTTGGCGCGTTGCGCCCGTTCTCCACTAGCTTGCTTAAGCGGGTAAGCGACAACAACAGGTGGACTGATGCGAACGATATGATCCTGTTTTGTCGCTTGCTGGAAGAAAAAGAAAGAAAATAAAAGGGCTGTCGTCGCGCCAAACGCATCCCCTCTTGACACGCTTCATTACCCGCCACGAAAGGCTGTACGGACTGTATGAGGCATGCTGAGTTTCGCCCACGATGGGCGGAGGGTGCTGTGGGAAAGACAGGGCCAGGGTGACAAATTAGTAAATTGTCTGCATATCGGACTAAACAAGAAAAGACAGAGTAGTGAGGAGTGGTGAGTCTGCTGACAGATGAAGGGGAGAAGAGTGGACCTACAGTGGTGAGGCTTTCCCGATTTAATCATAACCAACTAGCAAATTCATACTTATAGTTAGTACCAAGGCAACCTAGAGACCGACGAAAATTGAGTGGTTTAAGCTATCCAGAGGGATATGGTTACCTGAGAGGAGCGAAGACATGGTTGCTATATGCGGATTGATAAGTGGGTAGGGGGAGAGTTCCTCGACAACTGAGGAATCGTTCTTCCTCATGTCTGTTAGTAAGCAAGCTTTGCAGTGTAGAATTTTGTGCGCTGGCGAGCGAAGCCCTACCAAGTGGCTAGAGCGTGCATTAAATGTCCACTTTGAATACTGAAATCTCCACTTCAACTCTAACGATCGAACTTTAGGTGAACAAAGACCCCAGAGGTGCAGAGCGGGCGTCTGTCAGGCAAGCGTTAAGGCAGGAAAGCTTTTAGAATCGAAGAAGAGGGGGGAAAGCGAATTCTGATGTTCCTCGTTTCTTTGACCTCTCCAGTGTGCTCTCCATGCCTTTTATTTCCACCAGATCGGGAATAGAGCTGGACCGTCCATGGTTTCCTTATTCGAACACACACGTCTAGAATGTTCAGAGGCCTTTACCCCGCTGAGTAGTACATAGATCCTTGTGGTTAGCAAACAGTCATTTTCCCGAACACCGTCCCCCTTGAGGTTTTGCTGCCAGCCAAAGTTGTCACCTACGCAGTCCATTTCAGCTAGCACTGGTTCTATTTACTGGGTATTCAGTGCTGTTAGCACTATATAGTCAACAAAACGGAGGGGCTGTAGTTGCCTTGACATCCTGCATCCCCTGCTATGCAAATTTATGGAGTGAAAAGTGGAGCTGAAAGTTCGGGCGAGTTTTAGTAGGACTGTCGGACTCTGCGCTGTTACGTAAATGGACGTTGTAGAACCATACAATTGTGTGAAGAATACAAAAAGGGGGTTGTGAGGTTCTCGGAGGGCCCTTTGACCCAATTCTGGGCTTAGAGCAGCACAACAAAATGAGACGGACGTGTGGTCCACCAAGGATGTACAGTCTTGTTAAGTG